TGAAAGGAAGTTCTGTCAGAACTTAGTGATACTGGGAGATTCATTATGATGTGGGCAGGAAATGGAATGAATAGAGTTGTGCTGCTGGATGTTGCTTTGGGATTTATCAGAAGACTGAAGGAAAGGACCTTTGATGGTCACTTGATGTTATAACATAGCAAAACAGTGGGTATGGAGCCCATTGGAAACTGAGAGTAGCTTTGGACTATGCTGCCTGTAGTGACTGTAGTTCTGCAAATGGTATGCTGTAGCTTAAGTGCAGTTGAATTTGAGTGTGTTAAAATGTTAAATGTTAACAAGGATGTTGTCTTTAGTGCATTTGTAGCCTACAAAATAATTCTTAGTGGATTTTGTTTTTTGTATATTTATTCAGTAAAAGTCTTAAACTATGCAATCATGCTGTGTGATCCCAGGCATCAGTCACTGGGAATTCAGAGCTTTTTTTTTAAAGTAAGGTCTCCATGAAGATCTTAAGCACCTGAGGAGTCGCAAACCGTACTGAACGCTGTGCAATCTTTGATGAATGTCCTCATTTCTAACATTATGTTGGAGAGAAAATCATTAATGAAATAGATGGAGATGGATGGTCTTAGAAAATCACGGAGAGGAGTTCCTGAATTGATATTCTGGAACTGAGATTAGCCCACAACATTGACAGCTTTTTTTCCCTTTGGGCTACATAATGATTCAGCCAGGGGAGAGTTTTTCTTAATTCCCATGGCCTTCATCTTGAATTGATGACCTTAGATCGATCAATCAGTTTTGCTTATGTCTAAACTAATAAAAGATGCTTTGCTGCTTTGGCTCTAATTATTCCACTGGTTTATTAGTGCTTCTTCAGTTCATTAGTTTACAGAAGTGACCATTATGAATACGTAGTATAATTGTTACTGTTTCTCTTTTCAAGATCACATTCTGGACTCTTGCGTTTATTATTTCGAATCCATTTGTTTATAAGACTGTTATGAAGGAACTATGTTCTGTCGTTGGTGACCAAGGTAATTGTTTTAAAAACTTTTACTAGTGGATAAAAATATTTTGGTTATCACTGATTCAAAGATATAATGAATAGAAGTCCGTATGTTTTCCAAAAATGCTATCCTAATTACAGATTTTCCAGCAATTTTCCACAACACACATCAAATACGTTGCTCTGGTATTTGTATGAACAAATGAAATAGGAGCAGAAGTAGACCGTTCAGACCCTCAAGCCTGCTCCATCATTCAGCAAGGTCATGGCTGATCTGTTTGTGTTTTATGTTCCATATTCCCACCTATCTCGGTAACTCTTGATTCCCCTGCCCAACAAGAATCTATCTACTTCTGTCTTAGAATTTTTCATGGCCACATCACTGCCATCTTCTAAGGCAGAGAGTTCCATAATCTCTCAGCCCTCTGAGTTATACAGTTTCATCTCATCTCTGTCCTGATAAGGCAACCCCTAATTTTAAAACTGTGCCACTAGTTTTGAATTCGTCCACAAGAGGAAGCAGCCTTTCCACATCCACTTTGGCAAAATCATTCAGGATATTGTACATTTCAATTAGGTCAGCCCTCACTCTCCTAAAGTCCAGTGGAAACAAGCCCAGGCCTGTCCAACCTCTCCTCATAAGACAATGCGCTTACTTGAATCTAATAAACCTCCTCTGAACAACCTCCAATGTGTTTACATCTTTCTTTAAATAAGGAATGCAAATCTGCACATGGTATTCGAAATGTAGTCTCATCAATGCCGTGTATAATTGAAGTATACCATCCTTATGTTTGTATTCAATTCCTCTCACAGTAAAAGATAACATCCCATTAGCCTTCTTGGTTACATGCTGTACCTTCATGCTAACTTGCACCAGATGCAGGTACAGTTACAACATTTAAAAGACATTTGGACAGGTACATGACTAGGATAGGTTTGGAGGGATATGGGCCAAACACAGGCAAGAGGGATTAGGTTAGTTTAGGAAACTTGGTCAGTATGGGCAAGTTGGACCAAAGGGTCTTTTTCTGTGCTGTATGGCTCTCTGACACCGAAATTCCTCTGCACCTCAAAATTCTGCAGTAGTACTGTTTTTAAATAATATTCTTTCTATCAGCCTTTCTGCCAAAATGAACAATTTCACATTTTCCCATATTATACTCTATCTGCCAGCTTTTTGCCCAATCACTCAGTCTATCTATATCTGATTGCAATTGGTTTCATCTACAAATTTACCTACCATACCTTTGCTCCCCTCGTCTAAGTCATTGATGTAAATTGTAAAAAATTGAGGGCCCAGCACAGACTCCTGTGCAACTCCATTTGTCAATAAGATGAACAGCCATTTTTACATACTCTGTTTTCTGCCAGCCAGCTAATCTTACTATAAGACTGTAAAACCAAAGGTAGAAATGAAAGTTCCTTCTTAAGCTACCAGCCAGTTGCATTACAATGTGAAACCAAAAACTAGGCTCACTACCAGATTTAAGTGAATTTATATAAATACCAACTCAGAAAAGCTTATGGTGCAGTGTGCTGTATGAACAAGGGCTCAGGATGGCAACTGAATCTTCTATTCATGCTAATTTGTCACACCCTACACCATGAGCTTTGATTTTGTCCTTTGATGTGGCACCTTATCAAGTGCCTTCACTTGCCTTCACTAACACTGATTTAGAGTCATAGAGCTGCAACGCACAGGATCAGATGCTTCGGCCCAATTTGTCCATACTTACTAGATATCCTAAATTAATCTAGTCCCATTTGCCAGCATTTGGCCCATATCCTTCTAAACCCTTCCTTTTCATTAGTATCCATCCAAATGCCTCGTAATTGTACCAGCCTGCATCACTTTCCCTGGCAGCTCATTCCATCCACATACTACCATCTGTGTGAAAATTTGCCCCATAGGTCCCTTTTAAATCTTTTCTCTCTCACCTTAAACCTATGCTGTCTAGTTTTAGACTTCCCTACCATGGGAAAAAGACCTTGGCTATTCACCCTATCCATGCCCCACACAATTTTATAGACTTCTATAAGATCATCCCTGAGCCTCCAATGCTCCAGGGAAAATAGCTTCGGCCTATTCAGCCTGTCCCTGTAGCTCACCTCCGACCCCAGCAACATCCTTGTTAATCTTTTCTGCATCCTTTCAAGTTTCACAACATCTTTCCTATAGCAGGCAGACCAAAATTGAATACAGTATTGCAAAAGTGCCGTAACAATGTCGTGTGCAGCTGCAACATGACGTCGCAACTCCTGTAGTCAATGCACTGTCTTTACTTCTGTGTGGGGGGAAATGTGTCAAGTGAAGGTAACTACAGATGTTATACCACTGTGCTGCCCACCTCTGCTGGGTCTGTCCTGATGAGATGGTAATGGTGGTGTCTGGGACATTGCCTGTGAGGTATGATTCTGTGAGTATGACTGTTGCTTGACGGGTCTGTGAGACAGGTCTTCCAGTTTTGGCACTAGCCCCCAGATGCTAGTAAGGAGGCCGTTGCAGGGTCAACAGGGCTGTTTTTGCCATTATCATTCTGGTGCCTATGTCGATGTCAGTGGCATCGTGCAAATTATTGTGAAGAATATATGCACACAGCCTTAAGCTAAATAAAAATGTTTAGGGAAGGAGGGAATTCCTTGGTGGTTTTGAATCTTATAAAAGGAACATGTGCATTCCGTTCTGCCAGCTCTAATTCATTGAAAGAGAAATCCAATTAAGCTTCACAACCAGGTGAAGAGGAGTCAATGGTCTAGTGGTATTATCACTAGACCATTAATCCAGAAACTCATCTAATGTTCTGGGGACCTGGATTCAAATCCTGCCATGGCAAATAGGGAAATTTGAATTCGATAAAAAAAAATCTGGTTTTAATAATCTCCTGATGACCATGAAACCGTTGTTGATTCCTGGAAAATTCATCTTATTCACTAATGCCCTTTATGGAAGGAAATCTGCCATCCTCACCTGGCCTGGCCTATATGTGACTCCAGACCCATAGCAATGTGGTTGACTCTCAACGGACTTCTGAAATAGCCTAGCAGGCCACTCAGTTGCATCAATCAAGTCTCAAGAAAGGAATGAAACCAGATGGACCTCTCAGTATCAACTTAGAAACCAGAAAAGACAAGCAGAAACAACCCTGTCAACCTGCAAAGTCCTCCTTACTAACATCTGAGTGTCAGTGCCGAAATTAGGGGCACTGTCTCACAGACTAGTCATGCAACAACCTTATATAACCTATTCTTGAATAGGTGGTGGAAGCAGAGCGCTTGAATATTTTTTAGGCAGAGGTATACAGATTGTTATTATAAAAGGGAATGAAAGGTTATCAAGGGGTAGACAGGAATGTGAATTTGAGGTTACAAACAGATTAGTCAAGATCTTATTGAAAGATGGATCAAGCTAAAGGGGCTGAATGGCCTACTCCTGCTCTGCATTCGTACGTTCATAAGAAAACACTATCTCAACTCAAATTTCAGTCCATAGCCAGAGCTTTTCAGCAGTGGATGTGTTCACATATCTTGGCAGTACACTGTCTAGAGCTTCCTATATTGATGAAGAGACAAGTGTAAGAATTACCAAAGTGCTCAGTGGTTGAGATGGCGTAGCAGTAATGTCACTTGACATGTAATCCAGGGTCCTAGGCTAGTTTTCTGGAAACCTGGGTTCAATTCCTATCATGGCAGCTGGTGGAATTTAAATTCAGTTAATAAAGTAGTCTCAGTAATGGTGACAATTAATCTATAATTGATTATTGTAAAACCCCATCTGCTTCACTAATGTACCTTATGGAAGGAAATCTGCCATCCTTACACTGGCTTACATATGACTGCAGATCCACAGCCATGTGGTTGACTCTCAGTTGCTTTCTGAAATTGCCCAGGTAGCCACTCAGTTCAAAGACAATTAGGAATGGGCAACAAATGCAGGTGTTGCCAGCAATGCCCACATCCCATGAAAGCATGAAGAAAGAAAGTGGCAGCTCACCCTTCAGCCAACGGAAAAGAGAAGAATATTTGAGGACTAGGATCTACAACTCAAAACTAAGGTTGCAAGTGTTTTACTGGATAGGTGGTGGATTTTGCATCTTTGCAAAATCTTTCATATCCAATAGCAAGAAACTTGGAACACAGTAGGGTATGTTCCAAGCCAAGATGCCCAGCATTGAGGTAATAATCACACAAAATCAGGACAGGACATATTATTTGTATGTCAACTATTCTATTCAGAACTCAGTTATGACGGGAGATTCCCAGGAGGTTAGCAGAAGTGATTTAGGGATATCCTCAATTCATCCCTGAAGTGATTAATAAACTCTTGACAGGGTCTGGCTTATCATCAACCAAAATGGAGAAGGCTTATTTGGGAAGGCACCAAACACATTGAGAGCCCTCATTGGGAATAAACAGAGGCAAAGTCAAGATGTTGGAGGGGGCACCCCAAACCTCAAACCAACCCATCAAACATAACCACTTGCGCATATGGCAAACACTGCGGATCACAAATTGGACTCATCATCCATCTCAGAGTCCACTGAATTGGAGTAAAAACAAGTTATCCTCAATCCCAAGAGATGCCCTAAGAAGAAGAGGAAGCACCTTCAGCTGACATTGTACATCAGGCTGGGGAGAAAAAGGAGTGAGTCTGCCCACCAAACTGAAAGTCTATAGAGCAATGGTTGTGTCCATTCTGTTCTACATGGTTTAGACTGTGCACCCACATCATGTTAGGAAACTGAATCACTTTCACATGAGTTCAGTTCAGAAACTTTGGAAGATCAAATAACAGTACCTGGCATTTTGTCCTGAGGTTACCTTGGAGCTACCTGAACTGATACGCTCAGGTAAGACAGTCACAACTGAGTTGGACTGATTATGTAGCAAGAATACCTGACAATTGTGTCAAAGTGAACCTTCTAAGGACAATTTGAGTTTGGGGTGCACAGTCATGATGGTCAAAGGATGTGCTGCCACAACACTCAAGGTTTCATTTGGGAGTTTGGGATCAACTTTGAGACCTAGAAGAAACTCAGCGAGATCACAGCATCTGGTGAATCCAGACAAAAATAAAGGTGTGACTTCCTTTGAAAGCAGGAAGGTAGCAGAAGCAGAGACAAAATGCAAAGAGAGGAATTCTCAAGCCAGTAACCTGTCTAAAAGTCAGTTGTAAGTGGTATCCTGTGTTATTTGTAATCTTCTGAGTGAAGATTAGCCATAATAGTCACCACAATGTATCAGAATCCTACCAAACACTCCAGATGATGAACATGGCCATCTTTGCCTTGAAGGACAACAATAAATCAATTAAATACACAATTGAAACCAAGATTGAAAGATATTAATATTTTATAAAATGATTAATCAGGAATCATTTTTAATTGCTTGACAGCTTTAATTGTAACAGATGTGTAACACAAGTCTCAAATGTAACAAATATTTTGATTGAGTACAAAACAGCTGCCTCGCAGCGCCAGGGACCAAGATTTAATTCCATTCTCGGGCGACTGCTTGTGTAGAGTTTGCACATTCTCCCCGTGTTGTGTGGGTTTTCTCCAGGTACTCTGGTTTCCTCCCACTGTCCAAAGATGTGCAGGTTAGGTGGATTAGCCCTGTCAAATGTGAGGTTATGGGGATAGGGTAGGTCTGGGTAAGATGCTGTTCAGAGGGTTGGAGCAGACTCGATGGGCTGAATGGCCTCTTTCTGCACTGCAGGCATTCTATGATTACACTTTAACATTACCTGGCGTAAAAAGTAAGGCTGTATGGTTACTAGGAGGACATGTCCCTGCTCGTCCTGATTATGTAAATTGTTGCTTGTTTCAAACATGATACAATAATTGGGGCTGCAGCTTTGCACAATTAATTTGTATTATGAAATTAGACATTTATATCTACACAGAAATTCAAGTGTTCAAAACATTGAGCAGCATAAGAGTAACATGATTCATGTACTTTCCATCAATTATCACATTAGTTTGCACTGTTCAATTGGATAGATTTTACAAACTAGTGACTCTTTTGAACCCCTGCCTCCCTTCCCATCCCGATAATGTGACAGGCACTTCCATCAATATGCACTTGGATGACTTTCAAAGTTCCAGTGAAAATATTTGCGATGTTACTGCTGGATTCAGAAGACTAGGTAATAAAAAAAGTCTAGTCGCTGCATTCATTCTCCCTATGTCTTTTTTCAATTTCCCTAGGTGATAAAAAGATCAGACTGGAGGAAAGTGATCTACAGAAGCTTCCATACTTAAAATGTTGCATTTTAGAGGCAATTCGTTTGCGAGCTCCAGGGGTTATATCTAGAAAAGTGATGCAACCTTTAAAAATTAAAGTGAGTTACCTATGTTAATGGTGCTTTCATCTAGGGAATGCAAAGGGAGATACAAATCGTGGGCTATACCGGGAACAAGCACGGAAAGTTTTGTAAGTGTTACAAGATCGAACACTACCAGGTAATGGTTGGGGTACAGTGCAGTCATCAATCCTACTATACATAGGTTAAGGGCCTGTTTGATTAACAATGAAAGAGGATGAACCACTAGTGAGTCTGAGTGAGAAAAGGCTCTTGTTTTAATGAGATGTAGTTTATTCCATGATAGCAACGAAGACAAGTTACATTTGTCTAGTTAAACGTAGTACTTCTAGGACTATCAGGAGCCAAAAATTTTGGGTTAGATTCATCTTCTGCTGCAACTGAGACTATATGACATATGTTAGAGCAAAATGCAGTCTCCAATATTAACTCTTTCTCGACCATTCCCTTGTACAACAAAAAGAACAACAATTCCCAATGTAGTTTAATAACTGAAACCAATGTTATAGAGTCAAAAATGTGTTTGTAGATTTTGCAAGCTTGGAATCCTATTAAGGTATTAAGTCATTAAAGGAGCAACAGGAACAAAAAAGGGATTACTCACAAGGAAAAATCTATTGAAAACAAATGCAATGAAGGGAAAACACAAGATAAGGATTAGGCATTCCTAAAAGCAGTACAATTCAGATTTTACAAAACTCTTTTTCTTGCTTTACAGTTATTCGTAACCATCATTGTGGAATATAGAAGCTTTTTTGATTTTTTTTAGTATCAGAAGCGAGATGAATATCTTATTAGAGATGATTTGGTGGTTATTGGATATTGTAGACTGAGACTTATGAGGTAATCCAGTGGATGTGATGATCTGTGTGGTTTAGGGATTGAGAAACGTTTGGAAGATGGCAGGACAGTATAAGATTATGGATTGATGTGAAAATTACACAATATATCACCTTTTCTTCAGGAGTTTAAACACATGGGATAGATTTCATGATAAAGAAATTGTATATGATCTGTGGGAGAAACGTTTTTTCTTGGCTAAATGGCATTTTTGCATGCAATGCTTTCTTGTTTCTTACCTGAAAATAAAGATCTTATGACAAATATCAAGATAAATAAATATTACATAAAACAAACAAAATGTTAAGTTTGGTCAGTATCTGATCTGGCTAGATTTAGCCCTGATGTTTTCAATCACTCTTCAACATGCAAATTGGAATACAAATAAATGAATTGGAGTAGGAAAGGGCTACATAACCTTCTCAAACATGTGTACCTTTGAGATTTTTCTAAGGTAGACTTAAGATCAGCTTTAGTTAAGTGCCTGGAATAAGAAACAGCGTACCCTGTCTCATGATTATTGTAAAATTCCTGGAATTTACCCCGTATCTCCTCAAGATTTCACCCTCCAAGTATTGTTTAAAAATTTATAAGATGAACATTTATTATTAACAACAAGGAAATTCTCTAGGAGTGGTAATTGCATTCACAGTAAAATGTATAATATTTAAACTTTTTAATTGGGAAAAAGTAATGGAAGAAATGAAGAATATCTTATACAGATAATATTCATGTAGAAAATCCTGTTTCTTCTTACTGTCTTTCCATAGGAATGAGTTTGGTTTTATCTAATTTGATACCATTGAGATTTGAATTAGTGCAACTGTCTTCTACTTCTGAGTTTAATAAACAAGTAAATTACAGGTACGCCTTTTTGCTGGTTACCATGACTAGATTGTAATGTCATAACTAGCATTCAAACCTCAAAAATAATTGGCCATTGCAAATTTAACTTGATAAATCACTCAGTTGAGAATGGTCAAAATTAGCTTCAAGCTCCCTTCAAGCCCATAGTTCAAAACTAAAGTCTGAATGACCTCACAACAACATTCAGCTTTAATATGAATTTGTCTGTCTATTAACTGCAGCTGGCTTTAAACTCCTTTGGTCTGATTTTAATGGAGTTGGAAGTCATTTGGATATTTCCTGAGCAGTGTGAGACATGGGAGACCTCCGTTAGCCTGCATCATCTGTAAGTGCCCCAATACAGTACTAACCAAAACTGATGGGAAGCTGGAGGCTGTCACCAAGACTGCAAGTACTATCCCTGGCACCGAGATAAATTGTCAGGTGGCCTGGCGTCAACTAAGCAGAGAAAGGCCTGGGAAGGGAAGGCCTGTACTTTCTTTGTTGAATGCAAATTAGCAGGAGAACTCTTCTGGCTGCACAAGTTTGTTGTATATATTAAACTACCGCTTTTTCGGGTTTCTCGCCCCAGCACTTGGTTCCAAATAGTTGGCCTAAGGGGTAAGCCACAATGGCTTCAGATAAAATTGAACCTGAAAGGAGACTTGGCTGCCTGCCTATTTTCTAAAGGGTTAAAGGCACCCTCTTATGCCTGTTACTGAACTTCAAAGAAAACTAGACAACCATTTTGTCTTAAAAGTCTTTCCAAATGTTCGTTATTTATGGCAATCATATAAGACAGGTGAGAAAATCCATCAGCAATTCAAAAGAAATACTGCTGAAATATCCTCGATGTAACCAATGCAGTGGAAATCAGAAATATTACATATGTTGAATGTCCTAAAACTAAACTGTGCAGGATTTACCCTAATGATTCAGTGAACTCATACAATGAGAAGCTGCTTAGCAAAGACTAAGGAAATCTCAATGTGTTTTCCCATTTTTGTTTAAACAGTGATTTCAACGCATGAGGATATGTTGGTCTCACTATCCTTGAGTTATTAATGGGAGAGTTGGTCAGAAATCCTGCTGTTAATGACCACCTAATGAATCCTTGTGGAACTAAGCCAGAATAGAATTTGAACAGGAAATATATCAGGCTGAGCCATAGAAATTTAACATCTGAATAAGAATCCTCACACTACTTAATGGTCAGTTTGACAAGATACTGAATGATGGCTAGCACCAATGAATTATTATCCAGCACTATGTTCTTCTTTGGAACCTGGTTAAATACCTTAAGGAGAGGAAAGGAAAAAAATCAAAACTACACAGTTTTTAAAAAAAAAACACATCTGTAAACAATACAGGAATTATTTAATAGTAATATTTTCTTACTCTAGAATTACATTGTTCCTTCGGGTCACATGCTCATGTTGTCCATTTACTGGGCACACCGGAATCCCAAAAATTTTCCTGATCCTGAAAAGTTTCTTCCCGTGAGTATATTTGAGTAAAAGCTTTTACTACTGTTTATCTTTGGATTATATGTAGGAGAAATGCTCCCCAGTATCTCATGTCTACACAGCAAATACAATTTTGAATCCTTTCAAATGATAGTAACTAAAACAGGAAAGATTCTTTGACGGCAACAAAAAGAATTGTAATTTGATGCGAGACTAATGAACAGAAATAAGGAATGAGGGTAAAATATGATATAAATTTCTGTGTTACTCTATGAAAACTTCTTTGTTATTTAACATGTTGTTTTATGTCATCTTCCAATAAAGTCTGTCAAAGTGAGGAGGATGTTTGCAATGGGGCAAGTAGCAAGAACCTGTATGTGGAGTTCTTTGGTGTGGAGAGGTTGTGGCCTGTCGTTATCACACTGTTATGGCTGACCAGGATGTCTCCCACTCTAACCACCTGGCAGAGGTTTACTGGAGCGATTTGTACATTGTTAATCAAACTGTTTGGCCTCATTGCGCCCATCAAGTCCTGGCAGAGACGCTACCACTGCACCACAATACCCCCCTCTATTCCTAAACCTAACACCTGAAGAAGGAGCGAGGGTCCGAAAGCTTATGTTTTCAAATAAACCTGTTGGACAATAACCTGGTGTGTGTTTTCTGACCTTGTCCACCGCAGTCGTAACACCAGAACCTCCACATTGTTCCTAAACTGAGATAACGTTGCTTGGGAATGTAGTGGAAAAATGTGATGTTTAAAGCAGGGTCAGAGATGTTGAGGCATGGCACTAATTAACATAGAGATAACAAGGTGTAGAGCTGGATGAACACAGCAGGCCAAGCAGCATCAGAGGAGCAGGAAAGCTGACGTTTCGAGCCTAGACCCTTCTTCAGAAAATCAATTTTCAATCAGTGTTCATCCAGCTCTACACCTTGTTATCTCAGATTCTCCAGTTCCTACTGTCTCTGCACTAATTAACGTACAGCATTTGCTTTTTTTTTATTTCCCATGTTTCATCATTCTGTATTTACCTGTTGCATTATCTCCTCTCTGAATTGTTGTCAGAAGTTAGATTATTACTCTGCCATACCTTGTATCTTCTGCATTAACCTCTTAGTTTTACCAGTATGAGTACTCTCAGTGTCCTGGTAATTTTTGTAATCTCCTCCCAGAGTAGTTTCCAACAAGTTCAAATGAGATTTGTCTCCTTTTGTTATTTTACTACTCAACTATATTGATTGTGTATTGTGCCATCATTTATTTCCACAGCAATGATGCAGAAAAATATTGTCTTCCTACAGGAACGATGGAAGAAGGCAGATATAGAAAAACCTGTCTTCTTGGATGGCTTCCTGGCTTTTGGAGGAGGTAGATATCAGTGTCCAGGAAGGTAGGGAACTGCCTCATTATCATCTGTTTTTCAGATTTTGCTATGTTATATTTAATATTTTAGTCAATGCATCTCCAAATGAAACTGATGCACTAATTCTGCAGAGTATTAGGATAGAATGGTTGGTTAGGACACGGTGAAAAGTTGTCCCTGACTTATTTAATATAATCTATTATATGTAGTTTAAGTTTCGAGAAGAAAGTAACTTTAATATTGTTTGAACGATGCACTTCAAGTAAAAGTCTGCTTTGTCACACCAAAGTGACACTTCCATTAGAGATACTTTAGAAGATATTTGAGTAATACTGAAACATAAATAGCTGTAGGTTTTGAATATGAAGATAACCTTGTATTGTGTAGAAAAGTGTTCACCCAGACCTGCACTAAACAGTCCACATTAACTTAGCACCTCAAAAATGTTGCACCCCAAGGGTTCCCTTATACATTACAAGAATCTTGAAGGTTCATTCATATTTCCTGGAACCAACCCACAGCCTCCTGGGAATAACTTTCTTTGATCTTTCCTCAGAATTCCAGCTATTTGCTGATGTATGGAAATTCTTCCCTTAAATTTTGGCTAACTTATCCTCAAAAATACTTCTCAAAATCTTATGACTATGGACTTCTCAGGTCAAATTTAGACTTGCAGAATTTTTGCTTAAGCATTGAAACATCAGGAATACCCTGGTTCCTAATGGCCCACTGTGCTCCCACAGCTTCTATACAGTTGCTGGTGCTGCAGCTGATGCTTAGTTTCTGGCAGATGTTTTATTTCTTCCTGTTCAAGGTGATTGATCCAGCTGACCATATTTCCAAACGCAAAGTTTCCTCTGCCACAAGATTCTGTGAGAACCACTGTAGATTTATTTCTATAAATTTGAGCTCTGCAAATATTTTCAGTTGTTTTCCTTCCCACATGAATTACAATCTGAATTTGAGCCTCACCCACATATGCACAGTGAATGGTAAAGTTCGTATTTTCTCTGCTTAAGAAGCAGGCTTGACTAACGTGATTTCCCTTGGCTCTCTCTACCCAGTGAGCTGCAGAATCAAAGCTGTAATAACTTTTGTGAGAAACACCTAGCTAAATTTTAAAAATTAAATTATCTAAACCCCACAACCTGACTCTATGAAAATGCACGTTTGGGATATCCTCAGATATGTAAACTAATTATTTTACCTTTAAATACAATGTTTGATTCTGTAACTGGTAATAATTCTAATAGAAATTCCAGAAAAAGTGTTGAAAAAACCTATCTTTAAGCTTCTTCTATGGAAGTAACAGTTTAGAGCCTGGCTCATCTGAAAGTCCAGAAATAGGTCATCCATTGTTCAGTATTTACATTTCTTTGACATCAAAAGATAAATGTAGGCTAGCTTTTAATTGTAATTAATTCCAACCTTGTTTGAAATCTATTTACATCAAGATTACTTATCAATTTATCAAACAGATGCCCCAGTTATCTACAGTTAAACTTTAATTCCTAGAACTAATATAATCTAAAATATATGAATTATAAACTAGATATTCAGAACAGCCTTACACTGGAATATTTGAGAATGTTAACTTGCTTGAACAGTACACATTTCTTACCATCAAACTTGAGGCAGCATACTGCCCCTGGCATTTATTTGTGTTTCATTGTGTTTCACTCCCTGTCTCTCTTATATCAGGTTGGAAACTGAAGGCAATGTAATTGTGGTTCAGGTTTAATCATCATGAAACACCAACAAATCTGAACTCAGTAGCTAGGGGACATAAGAATCAAACTAAAACAAGATATTTTCTAATCAATCTGTTCAGAGATGTAATTACACACTGCTAGAGCGGATTGGATTTGATCCCTGGTGTCCTGGCTTAGGGGTAGGGACATTATCACTTTGCCATAAGAGCCCTCAAAACGAAACAACCAGGCTAGCAAATATTAAGGACATGTGAAATCAATTAATCAAACATAAGATGCCAGAAGAATATACCAAAGGAAAAGCTGTTCCAAAAAAAAATCAGTTAAGGTTTTGTAAATTTGGTTTGAGCCTCCATCTTATTTTTTTTATGAATCCAACAAACATGACTAACAACCCCCATTTCTGAAGAAGGGTCCCGATCCGAAACGTCAACTTTCCTGCTCCTCTGATGCTGCCTGGCCAGCTGTGTTCCTCCAGCTCCACACTGTGTTGTAGCATGAAATAAGGGTTTGACAGGCATTTGGGGCTGTGGCTGGATTTGTATGAACACAAGCCATGCTGCACCCTTGACATATGCATTTCCTCCCTCAACCCATCACCGCTGACTCGCATGTATTGATGTTCTGAAGTATTCAATGGAGAGTGCAAGAGAGCATGGGAGGAGCAGCACCAGGCACACCTGAAAATGAGATGTCGACCTGGTGGAGCTACCAAACAGGACTACTTGCACATCAAACAGCACAAGCAGCAATTGATAGACAGAGCTGAGTGATCCCACAACCAACAGATCAAATCTAAGCTCTGCAGTCCTACCACACCCAGTTATCAATGTCCTAGGCCCAAACATCTTCAGCTGCTTCATCAATGACCTTCCCTGCATGATAAGGTCAGAAGTGGGGATGTTGGCAGATGATTGTACAACGTTCAGCATCACGTGCGACTCCTCAGATACTGAAGCAATCCATGTTCAAATGCCACAAGATCTGGACAATATCTAGGCTTGGGCTGACAAGTGGCATAACAGACGTGCCACACAAATGCCAGGCTATGACCATTACCAATAAGAGACAATCTAACCATAACCCCTTGACATTCAGTGGTGTTAACATCATTGAATCCCCAACTATCAACATCCTGGGGGTTATCATTGACCAGAAACTCAACTGGACTAACCACATAAACAGTGGCCACAACAGCAGGTCAGAGGCTAGGAATACTGCGGCAAGTAACTACCTGCTGACTCCCCAAAGTCTGTCCAAGTCAGGTACAAGTCCAGGTACAAGTCAGGAGTGTGATAAAATACTCCTCACTTGCCTGGATGGGTGGAGCTCCAACAACACTGAAGAAGCTTGACAACATCCAGGACAAAGCAGCCGTCTTGATTGGCACTACATCCACAAACATCCACTCCCTCCATCACTGATGCTCAGCAGTAGCAGTATGCACTATCTACAAGTTGCATTGCAGAAATTCACCAAATATCCTAAACAGCACCGTCGAAAGCTATAACACTTTCATCTAGAAGGACAAGAGCAACGGTTACATGGGAACATCACCACCTGCAAGATACCCTCCAAGTCACTCACGATCCTGACTTGGAAATATATCGCTATTCCTTCACTGTTGCTGGGTCAATATCCTGGAATTCCCTCCTTAAGGGCATTGTGGGTCAACCCACAGCAGGTGGACTGCAGCGGTTCAAGAAGGCAGCTCACCATCACCTTCTCAAGGGCAACGAGGGACGGGCAATAAATGCTGGCCAGCCAGCAACGCCACATCCCACAAATGAATAAAAACAGTCATTTAACTCAACATTAATTTTTTTCTCCATAAATGCTGCCATAACTTGCTGAGTGTTGTCAGCATTTTCATTTTATGTACCAATGTTGAATGAATTGGTACTGCGATCTCCTGTTGTCCTGCATAACTGTTTCCCTTTGGATTTTAGTTCTTTTCCAATGATTTGAAGCATTTGCCTTAAAGACTTGATATCTTATTTGTGCAAGTCAATGTAAGCTTCAGTAGAGATTGAAGAAACTTTGTGAATTATAAATGGCATAACGAGCAAAGGTGATGCGAGTTGTATGACGTCCATGAAGTTTTTCTAACCATGAGCTGCAGTAATAAAAACAGTGTTTACTAGCTCAAAACTCTTTAGAAAAGATGGGAAATGCAAATAAAGCTGCACATTCTTGTTGGCCAAATATATAATTGATATTTCTAGTGTAATTATGGTGTTTTGGGTCTGACTTCTTCATCAAACAGCTGTTTTGTTTCCTTCCAGATGGTTTGCACTGCTAGAAATTCAAATGTTTGCTGCTCTTATACTCCACAAATATGAGTTTACTTTATTGGATCCTGTTCCAAAAGAGGTAAAAACATTGTAAATGCCATGCAAAAATGAGAATGAATGTGTTCACCTTTTTTTGATAGAAGTGGGTATGATTGATTTTGAAAGAAGAGGGGTTGATGATAATCACATTTTAAAATTTGCTGTTCCACTGCTGGCAATTGCAGACCAATTCAGAGAGTTGAAATTGAAGTAGAAGAAAAATTCGTAGTTTCAAAAGGCAACATCTGAAACATTTTCCATTCTTGCATGTGGACCATCTTCATGTGCATGGTCCATGAAATATATGGTTTCAGTTTTTGAAAATTCACAACCGTCTTCAAAATCAGACCAGAGCAGTCATTGTTCTAGTTCAGCACTGATTGGTTTCCTCACTGGAAAAGCTAAAGGATGTGGGAAATGGAAAAAATGTCTGGTTAATTATGGTCTTCTGGATGTGTCAACCTATGCAAGAATCTGTACTTTGCTTCTAACCATGAATACCTGATCTGAATGCATAATGTTAATCCAGTAAAATTAAAACTCCACCAGACTGCTCAGTTATTAACAAAATTAGTTTGATTCTGCATTATCTGACGTTTTGAAAATTAAGAACAGCCATTCTGGAAATGCTGGTACAACATCAGGTAACAACACATTAGGGGAAAAAAAACACCAACACATTAGTTGGAACCCTAGTTTATGTTGCATTTCTAATCTTATTATATCAGTTGTGGCTTGTATTAGTTATGCTTTTGAGGCAGCTTTGAAAAGTATACCCACAGAAACTGTTGCATGTTAAGTTTGTTATTGAAATGTGAGCACAGATTTTTCTTGCTGTCTTTTTCAGAGTCAACTTCATTTGGTAGGAACCCAACAGCCAGCAGCTCCCTGCAGAGTTGAATATAAATACAGATGACCAATATTTACTGCAAACACAGCTGTGCACTGCATGACCAGTGTACTCAAAAGTAGTTTTGATAACATGTTAAAATAAAGTTTTTCTTTAAAATAATGATGTGTACCTGTATTGTGTTCTGTAGAATTATGTATGTTTGACAACATAAATATTAATAAATAATCATGTGCTCATAGAATCAAAGAGTCATATAGCATGGAAATAGACCCTTCAGTCCAATCAGTCCATGCTGAACATAATCCCAAACTAAACTAGCCCCACCTGCCTGCTCCTGGCCCATATCCCTCCAAACCTTTCCAATTCACGTAATTATCCAAGTGTCCCTTAAAAGTTGTAATTGTACCACAACTACCACTTCCACAGGAGATTCATTCAACGTGTGAACTACCTGTGTTTAAAAAAAAAAATTGCCTCTCATGTCTGTTTTAAATCTCTTTCCTCTCACCTTAAAAATGTGTCCCCTCGTCTTGAAATCCCCCATCCAAGGGAAAAGACAACTACCACTAACTCTATCTATACCTCTTGTTATTTTATAAATTTCCATCAGGTCACCTCTGAAGCCTATCCAGCCTTTCTTTATAATTCAAACATTCCATGCCTGGCAACATCCTGGTAAATCTCTTCTGAACTCTTTCCAGCTTGATAATATCCTTCCTATAACTGGGTGACCAGAACTGGATACAGTATTCCAGAAGAGGCTTCACCAATGTCCTATACAAGCTCAACATGACTTCCCAACTCCTATATACACTGAGCAATGAAGGCAAGCATGCCAAATGCCTTTTTAACCACCCTATCTATATGTGATGCAAACTTCAAAGAATTATGTATATGTACCCCTAGGTCCCTCTGTTCTACAACACTACCCAAGTCCCTATCATTAATTGTATAAGCCCTCCCTTGTTTGTTGTACCTAAATGCAATACCTCACACTTATCCAGAGTGAACTCCATTTTTCAGCCCATTGACCAATTTGATCAAGATCCCTCTATAATCTTAGAAAACCTTCTTCACTGTCTACTATGCCACCAATTTTGGTGTCATCTGCAAACTTACTGACTATGCGTTCTTTAGTCTCATCCAAACCATTTATATAAGTGACAAAGGAGAATGCAGAATCGATCCCTGTGCGACTCTGTTGGTCAGAGGCCTACATCCAAAAAGCAACCCTCCACCGTTACTCTCTGTTTCCTGCCATTAAGCCAATTATGTATCTAATTGGCAAGATCACCCTGAATCCCATGTGACCTACGTGACAGAACTTGAATATTGCTATATAAAGACACATTTTGTCCAAACTTTTTGTTTTGCACCCATCAGGACAATTTGTAAGTATACCAATTCAAGAGGAAAACCAACACTTTTACTGCATGAAAGGGGAGTGCTGATTCATCAGCAAATGGACTCAAGTGGAAGCACTGCTGTGGAGAATGCACCATTAATGCTGATTGACAGTTAACAATGAGGTTTTGTTTCAATTTTAAACCAGGCAGGTTAGCTTTGATTTCTCAGGGCTATGGCCTGATCAATGAACCAGCAAACAACTGTCACATATTTTGTTTATTTGAAACAGGCACAGTGCATCTACATGTTTTCTCTGCTAAGAACAGGGCCTGGATATTAACAAATGTAGCTTCCAGTACACACAAGTGCACGATACTGTGAGCACACTGACAATCTTAAATTGGTTGTCAGCATAATTCTTTGCAGACACAGGATTATCCAGTAATTGTTGTCCAATTGCAGAATCATGTGTAATGTTGGACAATGTGTTGTGCATTTTGTAAGCACATCCTTGTTGGGTAAGATCAGTTCCTTGCTTGTTGCAAACAGTTAAAGGGATTTTTTGCTTCATACAAATCTCAGTTTTAGGAATTTATGGCCTACGTACCTGGCATCACATCAATACTGAAATTCATGTACAAAATAGGCAGAACATCTTTTTGGTTGACATCAGCATCCTGTTAGTGGTGAACACCACCCGTGTTGCTACTGTGTAGCAGAGTGAAACAGCGAGCTTCACCTGTCCTTTTAAGTCTTTTGAGATGCCTTACCCTTAAGCCGAGGTAGACAGGGAAATTTCAAGGACCAAGCATGATTGCCTTAGGGACTTTCACGGGAGTTAGAGAGTTTGTGAAATATACAGCTGGAAATAATCTGATCAGGGTTGTTATTATCCTGCAGGATTCAGGAATGGTAAGGTGTCTCAAAAAATTAAGCAACAGAAGGTGTACTTTCAAAAGTTTCGTTTGGGTTTTTGTTGTCATTGTCACATGGCTTCCAGCTAGTAAATAAATATAATCTTTTCTCTTCTGTCTACAGATGCATGTAATGACCTTTTCCTATTCACTACTGCCTTTTAGAAAGGTACTGAGTGTCACTGTGCACATTTTATCCCTTTTTCTCTCTCTGACATTAATTTCGTTTGATTTTTCTCATCTAATTGGTCATTAAATCCATTTAAAGTGTTTACCTTTTACTGTCAAGCACCATGTTGTCCTTTTCCCAAAAAGTTTGAAATAATCACAACTGAAGACTCAAAATGCTAGAGCTACATTGAGTGTTTTTCTTGCATCTCTCCATGTGGCCTCGTGGACTGAAAAATATTGTTACTCAGCACAGAAATGGCTGAAGGTACAGGCAGCATTAACATGAAGAATTCTGTACAACCACTATATGGCTGTCCATCCAAACAACATGGAAAATTGCCAACGTTTGTCCTGTCCAAACATCAGAAGACACCAGATTATAGTCCAACAAGTTTATTTGAATCACAATCTTTTGGAGTGCTACTCCTCTGAAGGCTTCAAAAGCTTCTGATTTCAAATAAACTGGTTGGACTACATACTAGTGTTGTGTGACTTCTGACTTTGTCCACCCCAGTCCAACACCAGCACCTCCACATCATGGCTGTCCAAAAATGCAAGATAAATCCAACACGGTCAATTACGGCCCTATCAGACTACTCTTGATCATCAGCAAAGTGATGAACGGTCTCCTCAACAAAGCTGTCAAGCAGCACTTGCAAAGCAATTACCTACTCCCTGAAGTACAGTTTCAGTTCTGCGAAGACTTCTAAGCTACTTACCTCACGACAGTCATGGTCCAAATATGAACTTAGGGAAGGTGAAAGCGAAAGACATTCAAGGCATCATCTGATTGAGTGTGGCAACAAGCAGCCCTGCTAAAACTGGTTAATAGAAATTGGAAAAACTTATCTACTGGAGGTTAATCATAAGTCTCAAGACATTACTGCACAAGTTCCTCCGCATACTTTCTAATTGAGATGTTATTACATATATCTGGAGCAGGTGGGCCTGCTGACTCTCAGAAAGGGACACTACCACTGCACAAGAGCCCTTGGTTCTCAGGCTAGTGTCCTAGGCCCAATCATCCCCAGCTCCTTCATCAATGACCTTCATGATGAGGTCATAAGTGGTGTTCGCTGATGATCACACACTGTTCAGTGCTATTCATGACTCCTCATACTGAAGTAATGCATCCCCATTTGCAGCAGGGCCTCGATATAATTTAGCCTTGTGATGAGTGGCAAGTAGTATTGTGCTACACAAATGGCCAGCACTGGTCAAGCTCAAAAACCCAGAGGGAAAAGACAATATATTTTGGATATGATAGAGAAGTGGTCTGAACTACTAAACTGGAACTCCACTTTAGAGCAGTAGTGTAATTTTTTGTCACTTTTCTCTCAGAAGAAAGAATCACTTTCCCCTTGGCATTCCATAGCATCACATCACTCCGAAACATTGACATTACTATAAACATGAGGCGAGTTGGGGGGGGGGGTCAATATTGATCAGAAATTGAACTGGACTAGCCGTATAGAATCTATGGCTACGAAAGCAGTTTAGAATTTCTGGCTGGCTTGACTCCAAGAACACTAAAAGCTTGACACCATTCAGGACACTGACCACCAAATTAAACATTCACTCTCCATTGTGAATGATACCAATATTACTTCCTCCTTCAAACCCACAACCTTTACCATCTAGAATGACAAGGAAACAGTAGACACACAGGAACACCACCCATGCACGTTCCCTGCTAATCTACACACCATCCCGAGTTGGAACTATAATTACCGTTCCTTCACTGCCACAGGATCAAAATCCTAGAATTCCCCCTTCCCAACAACCCAGAGGGTGTCTCTAACCCACCCAAGAGGGGCTGCAGCGGGTCAAAAAGGCGGCTCAGTAAAACAAATGACTAAGGAGGAGCAACAAAAGCTGGCCCACAGTTAGCAACGCCCACATGACGTTAAGTTGTACGTCTGAACAGTACCTCAGTAAATGCGGCTCACTGCTCTGTTGGCTTTACAGTCAGTTCCTCGTTCTTCACTGGTGTTTTTGAGAGACAGAAAAGTTGCTGTTTTGTTTTGTCCCTGTCTTCTTGCAATGGGAGTTGGGGAAATGTTTCTCTAACAGCAAGTGACTGACTGTGGTGATAGTGAGCGCTGCCAGAGCCTGCAGTGTGTGTGTATTTGAAGAGAGCACAGTGCAAGCCCAAGGCTCTCCACACCTCAGCAATGGTTTGGTTTGATCTTGAGAGCATTGCGACCGCTAGGGGCTCGGGTGTCATGACAGAGTTATTTTGCAACTTCAGTCGGGTGTTTTTTTTTTAATTTTTGTGGTTGTTTCTCTGACGGCGCTCTCGTGTCTTTCAGTTGTTTCTAGGCTGTATCCGGCTCGCTGCTGGCCTGATGGCAATGAGTAGGGAGACCGGCGAGTCTGAGCAGCGCCCTGCCCTGAACATGTACTCTCTGCCCGTCAAATTCGTGCTGACCGCCTGCGCTGCGACTGTTGCTGAAACAGGTGCTTGGTACCCCCCCTGCCTTTTAATTTACAACCCAAAAAATAACAACTGACGTTGCAGGCTTCATCCCACCACGAAATACACAGAAACCACTCCAGACCAGGGGGAAGGGGGTAACAAGGTGTAGAGGTGGATGAACAGAGCAGGCCAAGCAGCATCAGAGGAGCAGGAAGGTTGACGTTTCGGGCCTAGACCCTTCTTCAGAAAGGACAAACTTGCACTGCATTTAGTTACCGCCAGAGTGTCTATTTGAACGAGAGCCATTGGAGCAAGCCAACGTGCGGCATTGCCAATCTCTCCGCACAGGCCTATTATTGCCATCTGAGGGGTTGGTTAGATCTGTTGGCTGGTTTGCGGTGCAGAGTGATGCCAACTGCGTGGATTTAACTTCTGCACTGGCCGAGATTACCATGAAGGACTCTTCCTCAAGCTCTCATGTCTGAGACATGAGTGACCCTCAGGTTCAACCACCACCAGTCATCTCTCTCTCTGCTGAGAGGATAGCCCGATGGTATGGTAGGACTATAGCAACTTTATCTTTATGTCAGCAGCAAAATTCGATAGAATCATGGAAACCACGTAACCTGAAGGAGAGCACTGCTAAAATGAGAAATTGCCATTGTCGATTCGGAGGGAATTTTCTCCTCAATACGTATCTTTGGAAACATTAAGTGTGAATACTAGGATCTAATTTATGTACATATATATTTCTATATTTTTGGAATAAGCTTTTTGATAATGCCTATAGACATATTTATAATAAAGCTACAAAAAGGGAATGCAGAGGAAAACAAGGATATGAAATATGTAACGATTACAAATCTGAAATGAATAAGGGAGACCATTACTTGTGACCCTTTTGTTCACTGTATTAGAGATCTTGATACAGTAACTAATTGTAAACTTGTCAAATTTGTAAATACTAACATACAGAGAGTGTGGAGCAGTCAAGAATGGAAATTATGTTTTGCATAAAGATTTAGATTAAACCAGTAGAGAGACATACTTAAATATAAAGCAAGTGCAGGAAAAAAATGAGTTACTTAATGTCACATACTTAGAAAGAGACTAAAAATATCAATATTGTCACAGTGTGGAGAGCCAGTTACATGTTGCAGCAGAGCAAATATGAAGAGAGTAGGCAGAGTATTCAGGAATGTGGCTGAGAGCTCTGAAGCCCTATGAAGTTGAATGTTGGGTGCAAAGAGGTTGGAACAGAGAGCATATGATGAATACTGGAGTATAATGGAAGATTGCAGAAATGGAGAAAGATGAGATGCAATGGAAACTTGGAAAGCACTCCCCAAAAAGTTGCTTAGTGAGCTGCATTTGGGGCATTCAAAAGTTGTGCAACATCTCATATATTTTTGAACTTTAATATCTTTATTGATCACCCTTATTAAGTCAAGGATAGAGGATCTAGTCTAGCTCTAGAGATTTGCATTAGCAAATGTAAAGGTGCTGTAGAAGTACAAATTTTATTGTCGATTAGGAAAAATTTGCAGAGAAAGAAAATTTGCATTTACATTCGGCAGGTTAAAAAGAAGGCAAATGGAATGTTGCCTTTTTTTTCAAAGGGAATAGAGTCCTTAAAAAGAAAAGGAAGTCTTGCTAAAACTACAGCAGGAACTAGTCATGCCTCAGCTAGATAACTGAACAGTTTTGGTTCTCTTATCTAAGGAAATATCCTGGCATTTCAGGCACTTCAGAGTAGGTTCACTAGACTGATCCCGGGTGTGGAGGTACCGTCTTATGAAGAGAGACTGAAACGGTTGTGGCTGCTCAGTGAAATTTAGAAAAATGAGAGGAGACCTTATTGAAACGTATATGATTCTCGAGGGGATTGACCGGGTAGAGGTGGAGATGTTGTTTCCTCTTGTGGGAGAGTCTGGGACCAGAGGGCATAATCTCAGAATAAGATGTCGGCCAGTTAGGACAGAGATGAGGAGGAATTTCTTTTCTGAGGATAGTGCATCTGTGGAATTATTTACCACAGAGGGCTATAGAGGCTCAGTCATTAAATATATTCAAGGCCGAGATAGACAAGTTTTTAATCTTAAGGGAATCAAGGGTTATGGGAAAAATGCAGGAAAGTGGAGTTGAGGATGATTGGATCAGCCATGATCTCGTTGAATGGTGGAGGAGACCAGATGGGCCAAATGGCCTACTTCTGATCCTGAATTTCACATTTCATGTGATTGAAGAAGCCCTGGATAGTGATAGAGAAAGAAAGACGTGTCTTGGCAGAAACCAGAAACAATACTAATGATATTGTGTCCTATTGCATACAATTAATGGATTACAGTCGAAGTGCAACCTTTGTTACGACAAAAGCAAATATACTACATAACTATATTCTCAAAGCTACTATTGTTTGGAAGATATTTTGCTGATTTGAATTTGTGTTATGTACTACATAAGCGATCAGACAAATTTTATTTGCACTTTTATAATAGTGACATTTAATGAAAGCAAATAGATTAGTATCAGCACAACTGAGAGGTTGTGAATGGGACTATGACTTGATTTTTTTACAAACCAATATATTCTGCATTTTAGAAACAATTTAGTTTACAGCTGTGACAGTTGGTTTTAAATTGACCTTTGTTAAGATTAGTGATGTAAAAATACAATTTCACAACAGTGACAATTTTTAAAGATGAAATTAAAACTGTTATCATCCTGTCTCCTTCAAGCACAGGCAAAGAGAATGTCCAGGGGGTATTCTCTATTTACTTGGGTGATTATTGATGTCTAATACTATGCAATCTTGGGAAAACAGAGTAAAAATGCTGCAGAATCCACAGCAAAATTCCAGGCCCAGGACTTCCTCCATCACAGGATATAGATAGAATCAGTTATGCAGTATGTCATTTTGCATAATGTTAACAAATAAATAATAGAAGGGTCACCGGACTCTGTGTTAACTCCATTTTCTTTCTACAGACGCTGCTAGACCTACTGTGTTTCTCCACTATTCTCTGCTTTTGTTTCAAATTTATTTGCCGTGTGCTTCTTACTTGACTGATGACTGACTGGTTTTTAATTTGTTTCTTTGTTCTTAGTGACCTTTCCATTTGATTTAACTAAAACAAGACTTCAGATCCAAGGAGAATCAGTTCCCCATCATTTTAGAGGTAGTAAAACAGTAAAACCTTATCGGGGGATGATCCAAACAGCAGCTGGAATAGTGAAAGAAGAGGGCCTGTTCAAACTCTGGCAGGGTGTTACTCCTGCCATCTGCAGACATATCGGTAATTAGATTTAGCATTTTTTTTTTAATTTCCTGATATATTGTAATCAATACCTAAGCATCAGAATCATTACTTCACTGTTACACTATTTGTGCTCCTAATCACTGTTCTGAAGAAGAGTCACTGGACCCAAAACATTAACCCTCTTTCACAGCACAAATGCTGTCAGACCTGCTGAGCTTTTCCAGCAATTTCTGTTTTCAGCACTGAATGTACTAACTTCCTTTGGTTCTATAGATATTGAGTGGAATATTCACTTCTGCTGTACCTGTGGCTGTTTGTATTATGCATGGTGGTACAATACGATATTAAGCCTAAATTGCTTTTTGAAAGTCCGCTTAACTAATGGCTATGTCATGCAGGATCATTCTGGTTTACTTAATGACTTGGTTTTAGACACTTTTGGTAAAGCAGAATTCTAAGTGTTTGTGAGGAATCCAAAAATGATAAAAGCTACTTGAAAATTGGGGTTGCAATACAATACTGTTCAAAATTCCCTGAGGTTACTCAAAAATAACCTTTCAAACAGAATTACATATGGGAACATGGCTGCCTTTGCTGTGGGATGGTACGAAGTGCAGACCAGAGATCTCCTAAGGGAAGAAATAAGGTATTCTCTATTCGATGTCTTATGACAGCTGAAGCAGTCCATGTCTAAATGCAGTAAGTTCTGGTTATTATTCAGGTTTGGAGCAAAAAGTTGCAAATGACGTGGAAGCTAGACAGTTTGGAGATATAAATAGATACATCTTGAAAAATATCCATATTACAGAGAAGGGGATCCTGGATGTCTTAAAACACATAAAGGTAGATAAATCCCTGGGACCTGATGAGGTGTACCCTAGAACTCTGTGGGAAGCTAGGGAAGTGATTGCTGGGCCCCTTGCTGAGATATTTGTATCATCGATAGCCATAGGTGAGGTGCCAGAAGACTAGAGGGTTGGCTAACGTGGTGCCACTATTTAACAAAAGTGGTAAGGAAAAGCCAGGGAACTATAGACCGGTGAGCCTGATATTGGTGGATAAGTTGTTGGAGGGGCTCCTAAGGGAAAGAACTTGCATGTATTTGGAAAGGCAAGGACTGATTAGGGATAGTCAGCGTGGCTTTGTGTGTGGGAAATTGTGTCTCATTAATTTGATTGTGTTTTTTGAAGAAGTAACAAAGTGGATTGATGAAGGTAGAGCAGTGGACATGATCTGTATGGACTTGAGTAAGATGTTCAACAAAGTTCCGCATGGTAGATTAGTTAACACGGTTAGATCACATGGAATACAGGGAGAACTAGCCAGGTGGATACAGAACTGGTTCGAAGGTAGAAGACAGAGGGTAATGGTGGAGGGTTGCTTTTCAGACTGGAGGCCTGTGACCAGCGGTGTGCTACAAGGATTGGTGCTGGGCCCACTGCTTTTTGTCATTTATATAAATGATTTGGATGTGAACATAGGAGGTATGGTTAGTAAGTTTGCACGTGACCCCAAATTTGGAGGTGTGGTGGACAGCAAAGAAAGTTACCTCAGAGTACAATGGGACCTTGATAGGATGGGCCAGTGGGCTGAGGAGTGGCAGATGGAGTTTATTTTAGATATGTGAGGTGCTGCATTTTGGGAAGGAAAATCAGAGCAGGACTTGTACACTTAATGGTGAGATCCTGGAGAGTGGTGCTGAACAAAGAGACCTTGGAGTGTAGGTTTATTGTTCCTTGAAAGTGGAGTTGCAGGTAGACAGTATAGTGAAGAAGGCATTTGGTATTCTTGCCTTTTATTGTTCAGTGCATTGAGTATAGGAGTTGGGATGTCATGTTGTGGCTGTACAGGACATTGGTTAGGCCGCTTTTGGAATAATACGTTCAATTCTGGTCTCCCTGCTATAGGAAGGATGTTGTGAAACTTGAAAGGGTTCAGAAAAGATTTACAAGGATGTTGCCAGGGTTGGAGGGTTTGAGCTACAGGGAGAGGCTGAATAGGCTGGGCGATGACCCTATAGACATGTATAAAATTATGAGGGGCATAGATAGGGTGAATAGCCAAGGTCTTTTCCCCAGGGTGAGGGATTCAGAACTGGAGGGAATATGTTTAAGGTGAGAGGGGACAGATTTAAAAAGGACCTAAGGGGCAACTTTTTCACACAGAGGGTGGTGCGTGTATAGAATGAGCTGCCAGAGGAAGTGGTGGAGGCTAAAAAATTACCACATTTAACAGGCATCTGGATGGGTATATTAATAGGAAGGGTTTAGAGGGATATGGGCCAAATGCTAGCAATTGGGACTAGATTAATATCTGGTTGGCTTGGACCAGTTGGACCAAAGGGTGTTTCCATGCTGTACAGCTCTATGACTGCATGACACTCGTGCCACACAACTGCCAGGCAATGATCATCTCCAACAAAGGAGAATTTAACCATTGTCCCTTGACGTTCAGTGGCATTATTATAACTGAATCCCCCACTATCAGTATCCGGGGGTTAACATCGGCCAGAAACTAAGCTGGACTAGCCACTCATATACTGTGGCTACTAAAGCAGGTCAGAGGTTAGACATCCTGAGACGAGTCACACACCCCAAAACCTGCCCAGCATGTGAAAGTCGCAAGTCAAGAGTGTGATAAAATATTCCCCACTTAGCTGGGTGAGTGCAGCTTATACGACATTCAGGAAGCCTGACACTGTCCAGGACAAGTAATTGGCTTGATTGACACCACATTCAGTCTTTCCTCCACCGATGCTCAGTTACAGTAATGTACCAGTTACAAGATAAACTGTAGAAATTCACCGAATCTCATAGATAGAACCATCTAAACCCGTGGACACTTCCATCTAGAAGGTAAGTACGGCAGGTATATGGAAACACCATCACCTGCAAGTTCCCCTCTGAGTCATTCACCAACCTGTCTTGGAAATACATTAAGTCAAAATTCTGCAGCTGCCTTCCTAACAGCATTGTGGGTGTACCTACACCACATGGATTGCAGTGGTTCACCACCTTCCCAAGGACAACTGGGGATGGACAATATATGTTTGCCTAGCCAGCAACACCTACATTGAATTTTTTTTAAAAATCAGCTGGTTGAAAAATTGATGCGGGCTTTGCAGCAAGCCGTCAACTTTCCTCTTAACTGCAAGACACATGTAAACCAGTGAAACCACAACAAGAAGGAAGACTATTGTTGGGGATGGATATTTTATGAGCTCTGGGAAAAGGCCTAGAGACCAGAAAGTTAAAAGTGGATTATTGCAATCTCATTTTAATTTTTATATTCTGTAAGTAACCTTTATTTACACAGATACCCTTCCTTTTATTTATGATGTATACTAGTGTATTCAGGAGTACGGATGGTTGCCTACGAACAACTCCGTGATTCTGTACTTCACAAGGACAAAGATGGCTATTTCCCACTGTGGTAAATATTATAAAATACAATGCAGTATAATGTACAAAGCCTTTATTCTGTATTTGCATGCACAGATTTGATTTAAAAGATGATCCGTTAAATCTATTTTAAAAGTATTCGCTATTTACACATATATTAAATAAATAAAGAAAGTCAAGGCAGCTGTGACAGGGTTCTGTGTAGTAGATTAATTAGTAAAGTTAGATCACATGGGATTCAGGGAGAGCTTGCCAATTGGATACAAAATTGGCTTGACAGTAGGAGTCAGCGGCTGTTGGTGGAGGCCTGTGACCAGAGGTGTTCTGCATGCAGCGGTGCTGGATCTGTTTTTGTGATTTATATAAACGATTTGGATGAGAATTCAAGAGGCATTGTTAGTAAATTTGCAGATTACACCAAAATTGGTGGTTTAGACAACAGTGAAGAAGGTTATCTAAGATTACGAAGAGATCTTGATCATTTGCGTCAATGGACTGAGGAGTGGCAGATGAAGTTTAATTTAGATAAATGTGGGGTGTTGCATTTTGATAAAACATACAAGGGAAGGACTTATACAGTTAATGGTAGGGCCCTAGTTAGTGTTGTTGAACAGAGAGACTGAGGGGTTCAGGTATGTAGTTCTTTGAAAGTCACATCACAGGTAAACAGGGTGGTTAAGAAGACGTTTAGCACATTTGCCTTCATTGCTAAGACCATTGAGTATAGGAGTTGGGACATCATGTTGAGGATGTACAGGATGTTGGTGCAGCCACTTTAGGAGTACTGTGTCCAGTTCTGGTTGCCCTGCTATAGGAAAGAGATGATCAAATTGGAGAGAGCTCAGAAAAGATTTAGGAGGGTGTTGCCAGGATTAGAGATTTTGAGTTATGTGGATAGACTGGGCCTTTTTTCACTAGAGCGTAGGAGGTTGTGGGGTGACCTTATAGATCCTGGATTTGCATGACAGTTTAGTGCCAGCTGGAATGCTTAAACATGCATGCAAGTGAGAAAGGCTGTACGTATTAATCGTAGAATGAGAAGAAAGAATAAACTAGAAAAATGAGCATCAAGTGCTAATCTTTATTTCAGAAGATATTTTAATCCTGTATGCTGAGGAATGGTAAACTTCAATATAAATATTGACCATTATTTTGTTGTAAAAATAACAAAACTAATGGCATTACTGTTATTTGTGTGCAAATAACATAACAAATTTAAGTGAAAGACTGGTGTGCTGTTAAGTATGATATCTAAATGTTGTTAACTGATATGCACCCATTCTCCATTAGCTTTTGTAAACACCATTTCACTGCCAGTCTCAGCTTGAGAAAGTATTAAATGCCTTTATTTGTATGGTAAATACAGTAGTAACGAATTAATTTGTTAAATGTGTCACTGAAAGTTATTTTCCAAAGTTAAATGCCAATATAAATGCTCTTTTAATCAGGTGACATGTTAATTGGTCCCAATCACCCTCCTGACATTGAAAATTAATTGTTACAAATGAGTGGCCTCATTCCTTCAGGTATTAATTCTGAAGATTTTGAAAATGTGATGGCTCTTTTCTTTCTCTCAACCCAACATTTCTTTCTGTCTCTTCAAAGCTCTTTCTGTATCTGTTTTGACATTGAATCCACCCACTGTAATTTAGACTTCCTTCTCACTCTTTGCACTTAATATCCTGATCTTTCAGGCGATTGAGATACAGTTCCCCCGCCCCCAATCCCCCCGCTTCATTCGTGTTCCAAATGCCTAACTCTCCTGGCTGAAACATTAAGCTCATGTTTTCAGCAATCAGTGCAAAAATTGAATAATTGAAAAGAACAGTTTCAAAAATTGAAACAAATGCAAGATTAACCAGCAACAGAAACTGTTGGTGCATTGCTATGACAAAATCTGGGCCAATATTTATAAAATGTATCACAGACTTTGACTTTCTTAATATTGTCAATTAATAGTATAAAATAGCTACTTTATAAATGGAGACAACACAGTGTGGAGCTGGAGGAACACAGCAGGTCAGGCA